CAATGAATGAATACAACAATAAACTGTTTTGTTATGCTCTTCTACCTGTCTGCTTTATTGCAATAATACAGTGGTACCTCGGGTTAAGCCAGGGACGCGGGTGGCGCTGTGGGTAAAACCTCAGTGCCTATCGTATGGTCGGCGGTTCGAATCCCCACGGCGGGGTGAGCTCCCGTCTTTCGGTCCCAGCTCCTGCCCACCTAGCAGTTCGAAAGCACCCCTAAGTGCAAGTAGATAAATAGGTACCGCTTTATAGCGGGAAGGTAAACGGCGTTTCCGTGTGCTGCGCTGGTGCTGGCTCGCCAGAGCAGCTTCGTCACGCTGGCCACGTGACCCGGAAGTGTCTGCGGACAGCGCTGGCTCCCAGCCTCTAGAGTGAGATGAGCGCACAACCCTAGAGTCGGACACAACTGGCCCGTACGGGCAGGGGTACCTTTACCTTTACCTACCTCGGGTTAAGAACTTAATTCGTTCTGGAGGTCTGTTCTTAACCTGAAACTGTTCTTAACCTGAAGCACCACTTTAGCTAATGGGGCCTCCTGCTGCCGCCGCACCTCCGTAATGCGATTTTTGTTCTCATCCTGAAGCAAAGTTCTTAACCTGAGGTACTATTTCTGGGTTAGCGGAGTCTGTAACCTGAAACGCATGTAACCTGAAGTGTATGTAACCCAAGGTACCACTGTAATAAAAAAGATGGGCGTTTTAATGCTTTGGTGGGATTGTTTCATTGAGTGTTTTAATTATGGAGGGATTTTTTAAATCAAATTCATAATATCCAAACTACTTAGAAGCCATTCCAGCACATAAGCGGTATATTAATTAATTTAGTTAATTAAGAAGAGCAGCAACAGTTGAGGAAGTTTCTGCCGTAATAAAGGCGTTCCTCTTTTAAGAGGCTGCAAGACTCTCTGTCATTCTATCTGGCCAGCAGCTAAAGAACTGGTAAAGAAAGCTGATGGAAGTGTCAAGACCAGCTGACCTTCCAGCTCCTATTCCGACAGGCACACCGATTTGCAGGCCTGATGCTCTGGTCCCCCGGGAGATTAGCTGGGACATCTTTAGAAGCCGAGAGACTGAGAAGATAATATCAGGAGATCAGTTTCAGCTCAAGCCCTGGGATTCTGCTCTAGCAGAAGTAATAAAATGCCTTTCCATTCTTCCACTTATCTCTTGGGCTCTTTCTTTTGTCCGCTGTTCTCTGCTTTGTTTTACCTCTCTCCTTTCTGGTGGCTGCACTCTGAAGCTTCCCTACCTCTCTGAACAATGCCTTGCGAGGGAGCCATTCACAACACCGGGTCAATAGTCCAGCGACCGGAAGGGATTTGGCGAGGCGCCATAGCAGGAGAGAAGCACCAATAATCCCCCCATTCTAAAAAAACTGCATTATCGGAGTAGTTCTTCCTTGGCTAGTTACATAACGCCTGCCAAACAGTGACACGGAAGAGCGGCAGAAGCTGAGCTTAAGGTAGCAATCCTTTGGCGCTCCTGTCTGGGAGCAACTCCTGTGGAGCAGAGCAGGACTTACTCCTAAGGAAGCATGCATGAGGAAGGTGCTAGATGAAAATGGCAGGGCCCCTGTTATAAGGGGGGGGGAAATGTTCCTTTTCCCTTATGGGGTACCCAAGAACCCATAGAGAATCCTTATGTTGGTTCTCTATCTGTAGAAGAAAATAACAGAGGTCAACCAGAGAATATAGAGAATCAAAGCAGCTAGCAAGTCTGATCTTTATTAAAGCTGTTGCAACAGGGTGCTCACCACTCCCCCCCAACAGGAGGGAGAAGGAACCCATGGTGTGCAAGCCCTTATATAGACTTTGAAATTGCCACCCTGGTTGGCGCTGTGGTCTAAACCACAGAGCCTAGGGCTTGCCGATCAGAAGGTCGGTGGTTCGAATCCCAGCGACAGGGTGAGCTCCCATTGCTCAGTCCCTGCTCCTGCCAACCTAGAAGTTCGAAAGCATGTCAAAGTGCAAATAGATAAATAGGTACCGCTCCGGCGGGAAGGTAAATAGCATTTCCATGCGCTGCTCTGGTTCGCCAGAAGCGGCTTAGTCATGCTGGCCACATGAACCGGAAGCTGTACGCCGGCTCCCTCGGCCAGTAAAGCGAGATGAGCGCCACAATCCCAGAGTCGTCTGCAACTGGACTTAACAGTCAGGGGTCCGTTTACCTTTACCTAGCTCAAGACCACCCCCCAATACATCATACATAAATCACAGAATCCTGTCTGGCAGAAAACCTGTTAATGGGTTTACCTGAACAGGCTGGCCATTCTTTTGTGATGATAAATACTTAATTCCTGAGTCCAGGTCACAGGCTTACCCTATTCATACACAAATGTGCCCTTAAGGCAGGATTTGTGAGCACAGACAATGTGGAGGCTTTTCCCATTTCCATCCAAACTGCAGAAGAATATTTGAGGTCACTGAAATAGTCAAAATGCTTTAGGACAGTTTTAATGTACTGTTTTAGACATGTGGTTTATAGATTTATGTATGTGTTTGCCTGGTACATTTATGAACATTTATTTTATATCTTAGGCCTTATAATTTTCATAACACCAGATACACAGCAGCAACAGCAGATACACAGCAGCAACAGCAAAAGGCTGCCAACAGCTCAAGAGCAGCATACAAAAGAGGATGCAGAAGGCAGCAAAGAACAGCATTCCTCAAATCAGCGTTTGAAATTAACCTGGCACTAGGTGCATTTTGTACCCGACTATTGACCTAGTGAAAAGGGATGCAGGTGTCACTGTGGGTTAAACCACAGAGCCTAGGACTTGCTGGTCAGAAGGTTGGCGGTTCGAATCCCTGCGACGGGGTGAGCTCCCATTGCTCGGTCCCTGCTCCTGCCAACCTAGCAGTTCAAAAGCATGTCAAAGTGCAATAAGATAAATAGGTACCGCTCCGGCGGGAAGGTAAACGGCATTTCCGTGCACTGCTCTGGTTCTCTAGAAGCGGCTTAGTCATGCTGGCCACATGACCCAGAAGCTGTACGCCGGCTCCCTCAGCCACTAAAGCGAGATGAGCGCCGCAACCCCAGAGTCGGTCACGACTGGACCTAATGGTCAGGGTTCCCTTTACCTTATTGACCTACTGATGTGCTTAAATCCTGCCTGTGGCCTCTGTGAGAACAGAATGATGGATGAGATGGGCCATTGGCTGGACCCAGCAGGCTCTTCTTATGTTCTTAGAAGCTATAGGTTGTGTCTGAGAATTGTTACTGTTCGACGGCTGGGGCCCCAAAGAAGAGGCATCCTTGAAGGAGGAAACAGTTTACTGAGCACTCACGTGGAGTGCAAGGAGCACGGACCACACTGAAATTTGTGAAAGCAAACCATTATAGCTTCACAAAACCTGGAACGGTTCAAAGCATCCAACCACTAGCATTCTAGAGCATACATGACATTTTATGGCACATCGCATACATCACCCCAACTCCTGGGACAGGTGCATTGTGACAAGGCAGTCTTCAGCAGCCTCTCAGCTTGATCAACACGTTGACAACTGTCCATTGTCCTCAATTTTGTCATTTTTTGCAAGATACCCAAGCACTGGCTTTTGCAGCAAGCTAGATATTTTGCACAGCCAGCTCATCCTGTAGCACAAACCACTAACTTCCCTAGTCCTTTTCTCCCTACTTACCAACACGCTGCAAAACAAAGTCAAAGGGCAATTCTCAATAAAAGGGATTTCCCTCTTGATATTAATATGCATTTTCCCTTCAGTTGCAGCCAATGATGTTTTACTCAGAGTAGACCCATTGAAATTAATGGACATAAGTTAGTCATGTTCGGTGATTGCAATGGGTTTACTGAGTGAATTGGATGCAACTTTTTTTTTTCCAGTTAAGAAATGCTTGCCACAGGAAGCAGCACAAAACAGATCTGTCAGATCCCAGTTCTAGTTCTGGTAGTCCCTGACAATTATCTAGAAGAGGAAGAAGGTCCAATCCACTGCCACTGATTGGAGGCAAAGGAGAAAGACAGAACCTTTTGCATTTATTGCAGCCTTGTAGACAAAGATGCCAGAGGCAAACCCCAGGCGCAGAACTTGTGACTGAATGACACTTCACTCCCACGAAGAGAGCAGCTGTTCCCATCGCAGGAGCAAACATAAGCTCTTTCCACTAATGATTTAGCAACAATTGCTCCTTCGTGCCATGTAAGAGTTGCAAGCTTTGCCAGAAAAGGTGACACACAAGCAGATTCTCCTGTGCCTCACAAAACCCGAGGCTTTCCCTGGATGCTTTGGAGCAGAAGCTACAGCCCGGGCAGCAAAGCGGTAGAGCTTTAGGCTACCTGAAGGAGTGTGCTGGGCTAAGACTGCACACGGATGGAGGAGAAATCTGTCTGGTCTGCATTTTAGACTCATGCACCAGTCTCAGGCTTATACGCAGATTGGTTTCTTCAAAATTTTCAGCGCGGTTTCAGTTGTGTGTGTGAGTACACAGAAATGTATGCATTTACAGAAAAGAATGGAAATCTGGATTCTCCATACATTTCTTTTTAAAATCTGCAGAAAAAGTGGGTGGGACAGACCTGTGATAGAGCTCATGCAAAACTATCATGGTGTCAGGCGGCTCTCAGCAACTCCCGGCCAGTTGCAGGGAACGTACAAAGACAAGGGAATCTTTCTTACTGTCCTCTTTTTATTCAGTATTTACAGAGAGGCTATGGAATAGGGTTACTAGATGTCCCCGTTTCCCAGGGACAGTCCCCAGATTTGTGAATAAGTCCCCAGACAGATTCCATTCCCAGAATGTCCCTGGATTTCATCTAATGTCCCTGGGAAACGTAACAGCGGCAGTCTCAGCAGCCCAAAGCAGTTGGCTCTAGCTAGCTTCAGGAGCTGCTCGGAAGTCCCCATCTGATGGTGGTGCAGGGGCTCTAAGACGCAGCTTCCGGGCTGCCTCCACCTTCCCTGACCCCAGCAACTAAACTGTGAAGGGAGGCTTCATGCTGCCTATCGGAGCAGCCTCCTAACTCCTACTTGCATGCAAGCAGGAGTGGCGCGGGGGTCTCTCAACTGTGAAGGGAGACTTCACACTGTATCAGAGCTTGTGTGCAAGCAGGAGGGGGCAGGGATCTCTCAGATAGGCAATGGGAAGCCTCCCTTCCCAGCTGAGGGATCCCCGCCCACTCCTGCTTACACGCAAGTAGGAGTTGGGATGGGGCTGCTCCGAAAGGCAGTGTGAAACCTCCCTTCCCTCTGCCACCACCATTGCTGCAGCATCAACATCCCGAACGTGTAGTATGTATGTATATATGCATGTATTTACTTACTTATTTAAAGCGTCCCCAGATTCATTGAAAAAAATCTGGAAACCTTACTATAGAACCCAGCCTCTTGGGTAATGGCGTTGTCCCGAGTGAATATCCACTCCCCATCTCTCCCACTTCCTCATTTGTCTCTCCTATGGGTGCTGCTACATGCCCTCTGTCTTTGAGCTCTTTGCTCTCCTACTTTCAAGGCTCCCCGGGTTCTAGGAGATGGAGGGTCTGGGATGCTTTCTAAAGACACTGTTGTCTCCCTGATGCTTCCTCCTCCTCCTCCTCCTCCTCCTATCCCATTATTTCCCAACTTTCCCCCTCATCTGAGCTGTGACCTTCCTCAAACCCCTGCTGTAAATCTAAACTGTATTCCTCTCCCTCCTCCCTGGAAGGTCAGGCTGGGGAGGGGTCTCCACCATTCCTCCTTGCCCAGGCCCTGAAACATGGAGTGGAAACAGCTTGATTGGTCCAACCCACTAAGGAAGGTGGAGGGAACCATCATCTTCTGTGGCCATGAGCCTAGAAAGGGGGACTGAATATTTCCATATGGCTTCCAACCATAGCTGTCAACGATTCCCTCCCTTATTCCGAATAGGATTCCTCACAAGAAAAGGGAAAAGTTGACAGCTATGCTTCCAACACGTATGAAAACATAATAAAACATCAAACATTAATTGTAACAACCTGATCCAATACAAAAGGTCACGATAACTTGTTCCATTCAGTCTTTTCTGCAATCACACATATTTAATAAAACCTCTCTGCCCCACTTTTCCATAGGTCAGTGGCTGAGTGCATGCTTAGCATCTGGACGGCCCTAAGTTCAATCCTCACCATCTCTGGATTTGAAAGGGACAGACTCCAGTCTGGAAACCCAGGACAGTTGCTTCCAGTCAGTGCAGATGATACAAAGCGAGGTGGATTAATGGGCTGACTTTGTCTTTGGCAAGGGTGGGGAATGAGTGGTCCTCCTGAGACCCTTGGACTATGGTAAAAGGTAAAGGACCCCAGGATGGTTAAGTCCAGTCAAAGGCAACTATGGGGCTGTGGCGCTCATCTCGCTTCAGGCCGAGGGAGCCGTCATTTGCCCACATACAGTTTTCCAGATCATGTGGCCAGCAGGACTAAACAGCATCAGGCCCATTTGCCTTGGGATAAATGAAAAAAGCAACCTATGTTTCTCTCTTTATGTTTTATGTCTGTCTGTCTGTCTGTCTGTCTGTCTGTCTGTCTGCAATACGGACACCATGATAGAAACCAGAGGGCACAGAAACAACGTTTACCTTCCCGCCACAGCAGTACCTATTTATCTACTTGCACTGGCATGCTTTCGAACTACTAGCTTGGCAGGAGCTGGGACAGAGCAACAGGAGCTCACTCCGTCGCAGGGATTCGAACTGCCGACCTTCTGATCGGCAAGCCCAAGAGGCTCAGTGGTTTAGACCACAGTGCCACCTGCATCCCTATGAATCCCATCATCTCTGACTGTGGGCCATGCTGGCTGGGGCTGATGGGAGTTGGAGTCCAACAACATTGGAAGGGTCACAGCTTCCCCTTCCCTGCCATAAGGAAGCTTCACAACATCACATCACAATATTTAACAGTAAAACTACAACAATGGAGCAGTTGCCACCAGTGCCAGCTTTGAAACACAGGAGTGGTTCCACTGGCTGGGTTTTGCTGATTCAATGTGATACAATTTTTAATTGTTATTTAATGATGATGTTAAAAGAATAGTTAAAAGAATTATGCTGTAATCGGCGGAGTGCTTCTGTGTCACAATGGTCACATTTGATCTGAGGACATGTTTGGTTCTTAGCAATAACATAGGATATGGAAAAGACATGGGATGGGGAATGTGTGGTCCTGCAGATGCTGTTGGACCACAACTTTCATCAGCCTCAGTCAGTATGGCCAGTGGTCAGGGATGGTGAGAGTTGGAGTCCAGCAACCCCTGGACTTCAACATTTCTCTGATGAAAATAGGGACACCCCTCTTCTTCTTCCTCCTCCTCCTCTTCTTCTTCTTCTTCCTCCTCCTCCTCCTCTTCCTTTTCCTCTTCCTCCTCCTCCTCTTCCTCTTCCTCTTCCTCTTCCCTACCCATCTGACTGGGTTGCCCAGCCACTCTGAGCAGCTTCCAATAGACTGTACATAAAAACATAATAAAACATTTTTTAAAAAACACTTCCCTAAACAGGGCTGCCTTCAGATGTCTTCTAAATTTTGTACAGTTACTTATCTCCTTGGCTCAGGGGGTCACATAACTCCATCCCCTCCAACATCTCTCCAATGAAAATAGGGACATCCTAAGGAAAAGCAGGGTGTTCCAGGATCAAATCAGAAACCAGGATGGCTTCTGTAAATCTGGGACTGTCCCTGGAAAATAGGGATACTTGGAGAGTCTGTTGGCTTCCAGTCCAATCTGCTTCTATCCTGATGAAAGCAAGAGTTTATACAGGCTGCAGCTACAGCTGCCTTGACATATATTTGCCCAGCTTCTGCTTAACACAACTCACCAGTTCTCAAGGATTCCACTGCCAAATAGCTCTTGCCATTGAGAGTCTTCTTCTCTTACTTACTGCTTAGTTAAAACCTGCTTCCTTGCCATGCCCACCCATTGGTCCCAGTCCTGAGCTGGGCAGAGAGCAAGTGTGCTCTGTCTTCTCTGTGCCAGCCAGCCCTTCAGATGCTTGAACACAGCGAGGATGTCACAGCCCAACTAGTGCTGCCGTTTAATGAATGACATCCGGTATGAATCACACACTTGAAGACAGGATGGCACCGTTTTTATGAATGAAGTTGAACGGGAGGCAGTTTCCTTCCACTGCTGATATGACAGCCATTGTAGCAATTACGCTGACATCTCTTTCTACCCACGGTGCTTTCGGAGAGCCAGCAGGAAGCTGAAGCTACTTTGACATTGGCAACTATATTTTCGTTCTGCATGGAAATGAGAATTCCGTTAAAGAGTTTTCCTCAGAGATCAGACGGATGCATCTTTGCACGTGACAGAGAGCACCCATCACTTCCTAACTGGTGCTTTTAAGCCTGTAATAGAACAGAGGACTGCCTGTACACAAAATGCTGCTTAATAATTTTCCTCTTACGGTTTCACTCTGAGGTAAATCATACCCCCCTCATCCAAGCTTCTGGGGGAGCAGGGAAGATAGCACCTGTAACTATGCCTATGCTCTCTTTTGGAGCTACTAGTTGAGTGGTGGAGCAAGAGAGACTGTTGGGAATAAAGCAACAGCAATAACAACAACAACAACAACAACAACAACAACAACAACAACAATAATAATAGCAACAACATCAAACATTAAAAACTTCCCTAAACAGGGCTGCCTTCAGATGTCTTCTAAAAGTCAGATAGTTGATTATTTCCTTGACATCTGATGGGAGGGCGTTCCACAGGGCGGGAGCCACTACCGAGAAGGCTCTCTGCCTAGTTCCCTGTAACTTGGCTTCTCGCAGTGAGGGAACCGCCAGAAGGCTCTCGGAGCTGGACCTCAGTGTCCTGGCAGAACGATGGGGGTGGAGACACTCCTTCAGATATAATGGGCCGAGGCTGTTGAGGGCTTTAAAGGTCAACACCAACACTTTGAATTGTGCTCAGAAATGTACTGGGAAAGATTTTGTCTTTATTAAAGATTATCTTGGGTTACAAAAGTACATCCATCGTCTCTGCTTTCGGATCATAAAGTCCTTCGTACGGATCAGTTATATTTGATGTGAGACATTGATGCTGTATACAAAATAAGGAGAAGAGAGATGGGGGGAGAGAACCAGGGAGAGCGAGAAGGGTGGTTGTAAACTTTCGTTCTCTTACATAGTTTATGTGCAAGGTTTTTGCATCCGTGTCATGTGGGGTCTGGTAGGAAGCTTCTCTTTTTATTCATTTGTTAGTTTTCATTGGCGGTGAGAGAGGTTGTGGGGGACAGGGCCTAGTTGGTTGCCTTCAGTTGACTGCAGTGAGTTTTGTTTGCATGTGTGAGGGTGTTGGTTGTTGGGGCAAGTTAGCCACATCAATTTGCATGCTGCCAGTGGGTTCTTGTTGTTGTCTTGCATACCCTCCAACATTTCTCCAATCAAAACAGGAATGTACCATTACATAATGGTAATTTTACTATTTGTACCCCACACATCTTACTGGCTTGCCCCAGCCACTCTGGGCGGCTTCCAACAAATAAAAAATCATAATAAAACATCAACGTTACAAAAAACACACTTCCCTATACAGTGGTACCTCGGTTTAAGAACTTAATTCGTTCTGGAGGTCAGTTCTTAACCTGAAACTGTTCTTAGCCTGAAGCACCACTTTAGCTAATGGGGCCTCCTGCTGCTGCCGTGCCGTCGGAGCACAATTTCTGTTCTCATCCTGAAGCAAAGTTCTTAACCCGAGGTACTATTTCTGGGTTAGCGGAGTCTGTAACCTGAAGCGCCTGTAACCTGAAGCGTATGTAACCTGAGGTACCACTGTACAGGGCTGCCTTCAGACGGCTCAGGGGTTGGATAACTCCATACCCTCCAACATTTCTCCAATGAAAATAGGGACATTCCTAAGGAAAAGCGGGACATTCTGGGATCAAATCAGAAACTGGCTTTTCTAAATCATGGATGTCCCTGGAAAATAGGGATACTTGGAGGGTCTGGTCTTATTGATCTCTGCGTGTGATAAAGGGGAGACACACTGGGTGAAGGAGTCCTCTTCCATTTGTCCCTGTGTTAGCTTCAGTTTGTTGGTTAGCTTTTCTACTAAGGCTATTTCCCATACAGTTTGATACCAGCAGTCCATGTTCACTGCTGACAGGTCCCTCCAGTGTCTAGCTTTGATGCTCCGGGCTGCTGAGAGTCGGTGGCTTATGAGCCCATTCCT